AGATGCAACCACTATAGAGTCTAGGCTTGGGGCTGAGGCTGGGGCTGGGGCTTGGTCCTGGGATGGAGAGATAACCGCTATAGAGTCTAGGCTTGGGGCTAGGGAAGAGGTTGATGTAGAGTCCTGGACCTTGGCTTGGGATGTGGATGAGGATGATCTAAGTAGAGAGTCCAGCCCCGATATTGAGGAGATCAGTTTAAGGTCTTTGTTTTGGGCTGAGAGTGAGAACAGTAATAAGTTCAGATCTAAGAATGGGAAAGATGTCAATTTTGAGTCTGGAGCTGGGGATAACACCAGGATCAAGGATAAGTTTGAGGCTTCGGGTGGAGTTGATATAGAGTCTTGGTTCTGTGATGGTAATGAAAACACAAGTGAGGACAAATCTGCACCTAAGGGTAAAGGCAAAAAGTCACCTGAGTCAAGAGGCACATATCCGTCCATGGTCCCCGGGGCAGGAATGGGATTATGGGATGGAGCCATGATCTGGTCGGAAACTAAGTTTCCACACCACAGTGAGGCCAGCTTCCCAGTTGAAGATGAGTCCAAAAAGCAAACCAAGACTGGGGAAAAAACTCGGTCCGGGTCTTGCCACTGTAAACGTGAAGCTAATATGGATCCACAAGACCTTGAAAAACTCATTTGCATGATTGAGATGACTGAAGATCCTTCTGTTCATGAAATAGCCAATAATGCTTTATATAACAGTGCTGATTATCCTTATTCCCATGAAGTTGTCCGTAATGTAGGTGGAATCTCAGTTATTGAAAGCTTGCTCAATAATCCCTACCCCAGTGTTAGGCAGAAGGCTTTAAATGCACTGAATAATATCTCAGTGGCTGCTGAAAACCATAGGAAGGTTAAAACTTACTTAAACCAAGTATGTGAAGACACTGTCACCTATCCCTTGAATTCAAATGTGCAATTGGCTGGACTAAGATTGATAAGGCATTTAACTATTACCAGTGAATATCAGCACATGGTTACAAATTATATTTCAGAATTTCTTCGTTTGTTAACTGTGGGAAGTGGAGAAACTAAAGACCATGTTTTGGGAATGCTTTTGAATTTCTCTAAAAATCCGTCTATGACAAAAGACTTGCTCATTGCCAATGCACCGACATCACTGATTAACATTTTTAGCAAGAAAGAGACAAAGGAGAACATTCTTAATGCTCTTTCACTATTTGAAAATATAAATTACCATTTTAAAAGAAGAGCAAAAGCATTTACCCAGGACAAGTTCAGTGAAAATTCCCTTTATTTCCTATTCCAACGACCTAAAGCATGTGCCAAGAAACTTCGAGCCTTAGCAGCAGAATGCAATGACCCTGAGGTAAAAGAGAGAGTTGAGCTATTAATAAGTAAACTCTGATTGGCTGTATGTTCCCAAACAAATTTGAGTAATATTTTGGTTTTGCACTCTGGAAGTAATGCACATTGTAAATTGCATTATAACTTCGAAACTGATGTTATTTATGATGGTCTATAGCTGGACCATTTTATGAACACCAAATGAACTCAAACTTGTACTGAAAATACATATGTTGATTTTTATCTTGTCTGGATTGAGATATTTTTAGTATGTTTCATGAGCAGAAACTGAACGGATTCTTCATGAGTAAGATAACCTTTGGTCCTTTGTGTGGACTTATGTTTATACATTTAAGATTTTATTTTTATGTCATCAATAAAGTTGTGTGTTTTAAGCAGCAGAAAAAAGACATTGTCCTTGTCCTTGAGTTTATGATCTGTTTGGAAAGGCAAGATATATGGAAACAAAAAGATAATAATAAAACTGGGAGCTTCCAATCATGGCCAGATGCCTCCTATCAGTGTTTAGAGGTGGTAGAAACTGCTGCAGGCAACAGTACTCAGGGAAGTTTTACAAAGGAGGGGGACCCTTAGGTAAGCTGGGCTTCAATGATATGAAAGGGTCAGAAGGGCACTCAAGATGGGAGGAGTGATGGGAAGAAAGGCATGGAGATGGGAATCCTTTCCAGAGAGAAGTGCTGGCCTGCCTGGAGTGCAAAGTGTAGGGAGAGTAGTGATGAGAGAGAGAAAGTCAGGCAGTAGAGGTGAGTCCTGTTCGTGGAGCACCCATAACTGCTAAGCTGGGGTGTCTGAATATTACCCCATCCACCCCTGTGAGACATCAAGGTCTTTTGTGACCAGAGGATTGACAAGATGAAAGGAAAACAACATGGTAGATTTATGTGCAGCATGTGGAGACTGGTAAAACAGGAAGCTACCATAAGTTAGTCCAGGCGTGAGATAATAAAGGCATGAAATTTTACTGGTGGCCATGGGAAAGGTAAGGAGAGGATGGAAGTGAGAGGCCCTATGAACCAATAAGTGCTGAGATGTATTCTAGAGACACACAGAGAGGACCAATTTTATTTTAGGGTCCTGGGGGCATTTGACAGAAAAATGTCCTCTTGGCCAATTCTGGTATCCATGTAAGTGAACAGTTACTACTTTGAAATAAGAAAGTATACTAGAAGAAAGAATAAATTTTAGTGCTTGTATCAGATTTCCTTTATAAGGTTGGTTAAGGTGGGGCCTTTATGGAACCATAGAGAGTGCTGTTGGGATACACATAGAAGATCTACCTCTCTCCCACCCCATAGTGAGGGTGAGGGTGTGGGGGAAGGAGTGCTCTCAATCAGCTGGTGAGAGTATACACTGTCACAAGGTCCGTTGGAATATATGCACATCCTTTGACCTGTTAATTCCACTTATAGAAATGTATCTTTAGGAAATAATCACATAATTGGCTTGTAGAAAGCTGTGCATCTTCAAACTGTTTTGAAGGGTGAAAAGTTGTAAATGACCCAAGTATCTCAAGATAAACAGTCAGCTAAACAAATTAATGTATATCTACACATTTAAATATTATACAGCTATTGAAAATGTTGATGGACATCTGCCTGTATTTATATTAGAAATTCAACATATAATCTTAGGTCGGAAACATAGGCTATAAAAGCACATGCCATACCTTTAATGAAGAAAAAGTATATATCTAAATTATCTTGCCTCATACTCTGAGAATGTTAATAATTTTCTGTGAGTGTTAGATTGATGGGTGATTTCATTTGTTTTTTACTCATCTCTATTTATGATACTTTTATAATAAATGGAATTTTATGCATAATTTGCCAACAAGGAAGAGGATGGATTCAGGCTAGGCAGGCCTGGTCAATAGTATTTGAGGGACCTGGAGCAAAATTATAAATGTAGGCTCACGTATTTACGTCTACATACTTGGAAAGAATAACTTAAAATTTTAAATAAATATTATTTATAAAGCAATAAGTGTTATAAAATTTAAATCTTATTAGCTGTTTTAAAAATAAAACTGTTCTCAATATTAGCATTCGATAATCACCAACCGACTTTACTGTAAAAAAATGGTATCATGCTCGTGGTGGATTCTACCATCTGCTGCCCTGATCCCTCTTCAGGAATAAAGAACTTATTATTTTAATTGCTAGGAGTGCAGCAAATAGACAGTCCTCAGCTGTCAGCCCTCTTCAAGAATTTCCTAAGCTGAAGAAAGCCTCCCCAAGGTTACATCCCTTACCTGCGGATACTTCACATCCAATTACTAATGAATATGGCCTTCCTGCCCCAAATTGGGACAGATTAACTCCTCCCTCTGTCCAATCCTGCTTCCTTCTTTTCCCTTCCACAGGTGTTGATCCCAAGAGAATTCCCTAGTAAAAACCCTTCATGCTGAACTCTGTCTCTGGGTCTGCTTCCTGGGAAGCCAACCTGCAACAGTTGGTATAAGAAGTGGTTCAAGAAGGCAAACACTGTGATGAAATTTTGGACATGAATTACCTGCTACTCTGATGTCAATGAAGACTCCATCATTGGTGGTAGGTGGAGTAGATAGGCCTCTGGAACAAGGTGGCAGAGGAATTGTTAAAACTTTCAATGGTGATGAACTGGGGTGGCATAGTGGACACATTAACTGGTGCCATGTATCAGACCTTTGAGAAATATGGGAAATATTAAACATAAGGCTGGCCAGAAAATTGGGTGGCTGTTGATAAGCTGATTGAGCTCTAGAAAAGAATAACAAAAGCTGAATTAAATTAATCAACAATTTATAGCTATGTTTGAAAGCCAGAGAGCTTTATTTACAACATATAAAGAGGCTCTCATCTTTTCCAGGTAGGGGGTAGAGAAATCTGAGGAGTAGACTCAGGATTTGTTAAAAGCAAGATTCAAAGAAAGTTACAATTCTAACCAAGATGTCTTCTATGCTGAATTCAGTGCCTTGATTAAGAAGGAATGGGACTCTGATACTTGGGATAGGGACATCTGGATTGATGTCCCTAAAAATCTTGTATCCCCCGATTACCCTGAGCCCCATCGAGAAGTGTCCTACTCCTTCTATTAAGGGCTGGCACTTCACCTTGCTCCAATATATGGAATTCTTTCCCCTGTAAGATAACCTAGGTTTCCCTCAGAATCTGCCTCCACCTCCTATCCTGGCCACTGGACCTATAACTAGGGTTAAGCCACAGCATAATCTAGCTGGTGTTGTGCTGGGTGTAACAAGGAAAGAAAGAGAATACACCAACAAAGTGTTTCAGGACGTAACCTAGCCAGCATGTACTAGAAGGTGATGAGGGAGTAAGTATGGCACCAATTCTGAGGAGCTTGATCAGGAGGGCTGGAATATAAAATTGAATATGAGAGAATGAATCAATTTGAAAGTGCTCTCCCAGAATGCAGGGTTTAACACCGTGGCAAAAACCACAGGAAATGGCATGAACTCATTGCTACAATAGCTCCTCAACGTATGGAAAAAGCCATGGACTACAATAAGTGAGGTGTAAATGCCAGAGTTGCCATTGAAGATGGTGGAAAAAGGGATTTAAGTCTTAAATATAAAGTCTTAAATATATAAATATAATATAATTCTCAGAGAGGTGAGAATTATAGAATAAACATGTTATGTAAGGTCAGAAGACCTTTCAGAAGATTATATTCTGCAGGAGGACCCAAAGGACACACCATTTATCAAGGCTCTAAGGAATATTCTGGTGAGAGGGACATCAGCATCACTAAGAAGTTCAGTAGTGGATCTCTTCTGCATGCCAGGGCTCAGAGTAGGAGAGGATCTTATGGAATGAGGATCAGTGGTAGAAATGATGATGCCTCTGAAACAATAGAGGCAGGATGACTGCACTTAACTGTCAGAAGTCACGTGGATGTTAATAACATAATGCACTGCAGGGCCAGAGTGGCAAATGGGGAGGCTTGACCTGCAGAGAGCTATGGAGATGGTTAACAGAACATAGTACTCCTACTGGGTAGATGGTTAAGAGATAGTTAATAGGACATGGACAGTCAATACAACATGATGCCCAGGGGGGAAATAGGCAGCCAACAATATAGATTCTATACAATCAAAAGAAATGAAAGGTGGTCACAGGTTTGAGGGAGGTTGCCTCAATAAAAAGTCTTATCCAGCTTCTGGTCTCAAGTCAGGTTTTCATCCACAACACATGGTTTGTAGGAAAGGCTGAGTACCCAGGAAGAAGGACCCTACAACACATGTGTAGTAATGATTTCTTTAGTCCTTCCATTTACTGAGGTAACCATGTGCCAAGGAAAGAGAAATACCCAAACATTTTGAGAACAGATGGACACTGGTTCTGAGTTGATATTGACACCCAGAGACCTAAAGTGTCTTAATTTGCCCCCTTATTAGAATGGGAGCACATGGATGCTAAGTATTAAAAGTGATCCTGGCTTAGGTAGGTTTCACAGTCGGCCCACTGGGTTCACAGACCCACTCAGTGGTTATTTTTTTTTGATCTCTGTATGTATAATTGGAATAGACATAGTTGGTTAATTTGTACAAGCCCTATAGCAGTTCCTTAGCCTGTAGATTCAGAGCTATTTGTAGATGAGAAGGCCAAGTGGAAGCTTCTGAAACTGCCCTTACCTTCTCTGGCCAAGATAGTAAGTGAAAACATATGGCACCTGTGGAGTGGAGGATGGCAGAAATTATTGCTGCTTTTGAAGACCTAGAGAATGTAGAGTTGTAGTCTCCATTATATCTCTGTGTAATTCACCACTTTGATCCCCTGCAAAATGTGGACAGAGCCTAGATGACGCTAGACTATTGAAAACTCAGCCAAGTGCTAAGACAATTGCAATGCCATGCCAGATATGATATCCTTGCTACAGCAGAAAGCATGGCCTTAAGTACCTAGTTTTCAGCTACTGATTTAGAAAATGTGTTTTTCCGTATCTGTATCATAATGGAAAGTTCATATTCATACAGAATGGATAACAGTATGCATATACAGTTTTTCCTCACTACTCTACTAACTCTTATGTCCTCTGTCATAATATAGTCTGAAGAGGTGTGGACCACTTAAACATTCTTCAGAATATAATACTAATCTACCATGTCAATGACATCATGCCAATTGCACCAAAATGAGTAAGAAGGGGCTAGCACATTGGAGGCCTTAGTAAGACAGATGCACTATGGAGAATGGGAGATAAACCCTACAAAGATCTAGGGAGTTAGCCACATCAAGTTTAATTTTTAGGGATTGAATGGTATGGGGAATGCCAGAATATCCTCTCAAAGGAAAGGACAAATTAGGGTATTTTTTTTTCCCATTTATTTTATTGCGTTTTAGGTTTTGGGATACATGTGAAGAACATGCAAGATTGTTGCATAGGTACACACGTGGTAGTGTGATTTGCTGCCTTCCTCCCCATCACCTACATCTGGCATCTCTCCCTGTGCTATCTCTCCCCAGCTCCCCACCCCCCACCCATCCTCACAGAGAATTTTCTGGACGTGCAATGCCTTGTAGGCCTCTTTGGGTTCTTGAAATATCACATTTCACACCTAGAATTAGTTTCACCCCATATATTGGGTGACACAAAAACTGCCAGCTTTGAGTGGAACTATAGCAGAACAAGGCCCCTTAGCAGGTCCACATGCAGTTTTAAGCAGTTCTGCCACTTGATGCATACAAAAGACAGTCCTTATGATACTGATTCAGGCGAACTCCAAAACTGGGGCTTAGCCTGGGAGGGTTCTTGGCTTCAACAAGAGCAAGCTGACAGTGAAAGAAGGCAGGTTTATTAGAGCAATAGTTTATAGCAAAATGTCTGCTCCATAGACAGACCAAGGCTGTCTCATAGGCAGAGCATCCCTGAGTAGCAGTGTACAGCAAAGTGGCTGCTTCATAGGCAAAGCAGCCTGGAGCAGCAGCAGCAGTATATAGCAACAGTAGCATTCTGGAGCAGCGGAGGGAGCAGGAGCAGCAATTTTGCTGGCTAGCTATATTTATACCTACTCTTAATTATATGCTAATAAAGGAGTGGGTTTTTGGATTTTTCTAGAAAAGGGGTGGGAATTTTCTAGAAAATGGGTGGGAACCATATTAGGCAACTTCTGGGTCATTACCATGGCACACTGCCATGGCATTTGTAAACTGTCATGGCACTGGCTGGAATGACTTTAATAATGAGCAGTGAGGACAACCAGAGGTTGCTTTTGCCATCATCTGCTGGTGTCTCTACTGCATCTTGTTTTTGATAAGCAGGGCCATTACCAGTGTTCAGAAAACAAGTCCTGCTGATCTCCTACCTCAGTATTAAATGCATCTGTGTTGGAAAAAGATGCCATGTGAGTTTTTGGAACCCCTATGGGAAAGCCCCTATGGGGAAATCACAACTTAGGTAGGGTTGTGGAGCAAAGCCATGTCATAACAATGGAAAACATATATCTTTTAAGAACAGTTCCTGACATGTTACTACATCCTGGTGGAGATGAATGTCTGACTATAGGACATCTATTGGCCATGTAGCCAGAACTGCTTCATGAGCTGAGTTCTGTCAGATCCACCAAGGTATAAGGTTGAGTAGCCCCATCAATGAGATGGAAGTTTCTTTTTTGTTTCTTTTTTTGAGACAGGGTCTTGTTCTGTCACTCAGGGTGGAGTGCGGTGACATGATCATGGCTCATTGCAGCCTTGACTTTCTGGGCTCAAGTGATCCTGTCACCTCAGCCACCTGAGTAGTAGGAATATAGGCACACACCACCATACCTCGCTAATCTTTTTAATTTTCTGTGGAGTTGGGGCTCCACTATGTTGCTTAGGCTGGTCTTGAACTCCTGGGCTCAAGGGAATTTCCTGCCTCAGCCTCCCAAAGTGCTGGAATCAGAGGCGTGAGCCACCATGTCCAGCCAAGATGTAAGTTTTACATATAGGATCAAGCAAAGCAGGATGGAAGGGCATAAGCAGTTGCCTGATCAGGTAGAGGAGATCCTCTATGTTATCTACCACTGTTGCACTAGTACCTTTCCCTTACCTTACTGCTATGGCCTTACATCAGATCCCATGTGACACAGGCATTCAAGTGTTCTTTAATAAGTGTGCCTGTATGTGTGTGTTGTGTGTGCTTGTGCGTGTGCGTGTGTGTGTGCGTGTGAGAGAGTGAGAGAGGGATTCAAGATCTAAGACCTTTCAAAACATGAAACTTAGCGGGGCCTTCATTGCTCAATTCTAGGAGCCCTCATGCCTAGTTATGAGGCTAGGGTAGCAGTGGGCAACATTTCTAAATGTTTTGGAGAGTTAGGTGGTCTTATAGTCAGTTATTGGTCTGACCCTGGCCCCAGGTCCCCAGATTCTTACCCTAGTGTTGTAGTACTAGACTCAGGGCTTGGGGTTGGTTTAAGATTTTGAGCACAGTGGCTTTGCTCGGTCATGCACATATAGGGAATCATGTGACACTACTTTTCCAAGGTGAAAATGCAATCCTTCTTCTTGAGCTAAAAGGTCCGTTTCTGAAAATCACATGAACTGATTGGTTCTTGAGGCAGTTTAGTGTG